CCGTCCCTTTCCTTTATTGATCGCCTTTCAGTTTTCATGAGATTCCTACCCAACACACACACACACACACACACACACACACACACCTATACACCTTTTCCTTTTTAGCTTCTACATATGAGAGAAGACATACAATCCTTGACTTTGAGTTTGGCTTATTGTGCTGAACATAATGTTCTCAAGTTCTATCCATTTTCCTACAATGACAATTTAATTCCTCTTTATGGCTGAATAAAACCCCATTGTGCATATATACCATATTTTATTTTATCCATTCATCCACTGACCAGACACCTAAGCTGGTTTCATAGTTTGGCTGTTGTGAATTGGATGTACACCATTTTGGCATAACAGTTTAGCAAACATTTTTCTGGTCTGGAAAGTAAAAGATTAACACACCTTGATTTATGTATTATAGTTGAAATATTACACTTGAGAAATTTACTACAGTGTTGCAAAGTATAAACTACAAAATGTAATCTTCTGTATTGAAAGATTCTGGCTTCTATCATTGGTTTCGTTTTTATGCCATCCTTGATGCCACTCTTATGTTTACCATTAGTACTGCAACTCTTGAAACAAACCACACGAGTGAGCTTTGGAAATATACAGACTGGTGCACTGAGAATTCTAGGCTCCCAGCTCACAGTGCAGGAGGAGATGAATGTGCATTCATATGAATAAATTGCTGTTCTGTTTACCTTTTAAGCAGGAAGTCAAATTAATTATATCATGTGGTAATTATACAGTGAAAGGTTATAAACCAGTTTTTGGACAGAAAAAACAGGGTGGCGATGATAATTCGGTGAAATACAGTAATTTTTTTTTAAAGTTTATGGGTTGATTTTCCCCCCACCCACCCATTAATGTCTAATATACCTTTTTCAGGGCATGTTAGAGCCCACCAAGGAACCATTGAAACCACTCTCTGCCGCAGAAAAAATTGCTTCCATTGGTCAGACAACCACCTTGACACCAGAGATGAACACATGTACATCTGATCAATTCCAGGTAAAAATATCCATATTTATACAGATGTATTTTGCATATATTGACACATGTCCACATGTACCTTTTTCCTTACTATATTACTTTGTTTTGATGATGGACATGGTATTGATTATTAATTAACATTCCTTGGAATACAATGAGCAAATTATCTCTACTTTTCAAAAACAGAAAGGCATAATATGAAAACAGGGTAATTGTGGATAATTTTTTAAACCAGCACATGCCTTAGTCTCTTGACTTATAAAATGAAGAGTTTGAAGAAGGAATCTCAAAAGTATATTGCAGTTTGAATATTATATGATCATAATTACTGACTCAAATCTGGTAAGTGCCAAAATTTAAAAAAAAAAAAAAGGGAAACAATGCATTTATACCAACTCTTCAGTTCTACTATGGTATGTTTTCCCTGAAATTTTTTAAAAATTTAGAAAGCAACAAAAGCTATCTTACCTTTCTTATGCTTTACTTCTTTGGCACATTTAAGCACAAGCTTTATTTCAGTTCAGTATGCTTATATTAAAGTCTGCCCTCTCACTTTGTATCTGGAGAAAATAGGCCTTTTTGGCTTGCTTACTCTTCCCATATCAAATTAGAAACTGACTCAGTGCTAGTTAAACATTGTTTTGTTAGTGAACACTAACATTTCTAAACCATGTTCTTGCCATGTGTGTCATTTCTTAAGCTTAAATACCATCTTCAATAGTATCTAACACAAAAATGTACTTTTGGATAGCTTTGCCCAAAATGTGTATTCCATTGAACACAAATCCCCAGCAATGGTCTATTAAAATAAGGTTCTAGGGTAAAATAATTGGGAAATAATTCTTATACCTCCAAATCCACCCTTGAAGACTAGCAACACACACAGTAAAGATTCTGAGGAGTCATGTTGTAAATAATCCTATTTAATTCTAACTCATTTCTCAAATTTACTTGGCCCCAAGACCCTTTTGCAGGGGCAGGGAAGAAAAGCACTCCTATAGAATCAGTATTTTTAAGAACATTAGAAAATGATGCATAGGTCCACATCTCATTTGTGTTTCAAGAAACATCTAATGTTACTGCTGCATACCACGGTGGTTATTCTTGGGCATGGTTTAAACATCAATTTGAAGCCATTGAATTACTGGCACAAAATTAGTGGGCAAGGAAATCTGATGTGTACAGTGCTTGGCTTTACTGATGGTTGGGCAAGCAGACAAGGTGGCTTCAGCAAAATATCTCAGTAGGTAGAATCTTAGTTAACTTTCCTTTCATTGCCTTGATATTGCCTTCTGGCTATCAACTGCTATCACAACCCTGCCTATCTATGAATATTCCAAAACTCTCCCATAGTACATCTCCACTTCTACTCTGTCAACATTCTTACTTCTATAGTATAAGGTATTAGGAAAGTAACTACTTGGGACATTTACTGAAAATAAAGCTTTCTTACTGAAACATTTATTGCTAAGTTTTGCTTGCCTTCTTCCTCTCTTCAGCCAACCACTTCCACATGTTCAGCCCCATAAGCTATTGCATATTTTATTGGAGTTAGCTGTTGCCTGTCATTTTTGCCCCTTGTTGATTTTATCTTACACGTTCATTTTATGCATACCTCACAGCTTGTCATCTTTTATATAGTTTGATTTTGACTTGATTAAAAGCATATTCCACATGATATAATAGAGAACATGTGTTAATTTAGAATTCTGTAAGATGTCTGACCCCCACCACTGAATTGTATGACCCTTGCTTGGCTCCATCTCTGATTCAGGTTAAAATAGTTAACATCTGAAGTTGCATTGTAAAGATTCTCCTTATATAAAATGATATTTCCACTAGTCTTTGGCATGCCATATAATTTAGTTTTTATTTTTGGTCATGCAGTAATACTGTTAACATCTTTCCAGTAGTCATATTTTCCAAATGAAATAGCTCTATCCCATAGTACTAGATGCTTACTAAAATGTGTCAAGAAAAATCTGTATTCAGTACCTAATTTTTTCTTTCCCACCCCGTATCTGCAGTGTTGTATAATTCCCATTGTGACAGTGCTTTTGGGTCTTCTTGTTCTGTCCCAGTTTTGATACCCATTGAGTTTGGTTTTGTTGGACTTTTTTATTTTCAGACTGGCTTAGATTTCTTGTAACCATTGTATCTCTTCTTAAGGAATTAAAATGCTTATTAATAATTGTTAATGGTATTTTTCTGAGATACTTTTACCTGAAAAGACAGCTCATGTGTAATACTGATACCTTTTGTTTTTATTCACTGTCTTTTTTTTCTTTTTTTGGTGGGCGGAGTGCAAGGGATTGAACCCAGGGGTGCTTAACACTGAGCTACTCTCCCAGCCCTTGTTCACATTTTATTGAGGCAGGGTCTCACTGAGTTGCTAAGGCTGGCTTTGAACTCACGATCCTCCTGCCTCATCCTCTTCAAGCTACTGTGATTACAGGCAAATACCACCACACCCAGCTCTACCCACTGAATTCAAAGGTCACATTATTCGAGGTGCCATTACTGCTTGCCTCTCAATAAATACTTAAACCACACGTTATTCACCGCAATAGAGCAATATTTCTGACAAGCAGTAATAAAATTAGTCCCCACTAGCAACTTCTCATGGGATGCTTGATGTGACTTTTTTAGTTGTGAATCCGAATTTAAAACTAGAAGAAAAAAATATCTAATACCATAATCCATTTTTTCAGAAAGAAAATATTTGGAAAAACTGAGTGACTTTCCTCAAATCATAAATTAGTGGTACCACTAGGACTAAAATCCAAATCTGTTTCCATTCTGCATATTTATTCTTTTTGTTATGACCTTGTTTTCGAAGTTCTTTTGTCTCTGCAGTAATCATTTATACCACATTATTTCAAGTTGTTTTAAAATGCTTCATCCGAGTGCTTTCTCTTTGAGTTTCCTTACCTGTAAACGTCAATAGCCAGTTTTTGCTTACCTATTGTTTTTCATCTTCATTCCTGCTAAATGTTGATTTATGTTCATACCCATTCTTATAATTTTGGTTGTGTCCTCAAAATGCCATATACCTGTATGGAAAGCTAATATTCCAACAAACCACTGAGATATTTCTTAGTACCCACCTTCTTGACATTATTTAGATAGAACATATTACAGAGTTTGCTTCATTCATCCAGAAATTTTGTTATTGCACAAATCTAGGTTTTGTCCATCCATTCATTGAGTAGAAGTAAAAGGTCTTATTGATCCAAAAGTGGAATAAGTTGAATCTGCTGGACTGCTTAGTTTTGTTTTCTGAGATGAGCTCAAAAAAGGTCTTTTCTAAATGTTTATTAATCTTGCCAGATAGATTTTAAACTAAACTTTAACCAGCATTTTAAAAACTTATTTGAAATAATTATAGATTCATAGAATGTTGCAAAGATAACACAGAGAAATCCCCTATTCCCCAAGATACATCTTACATAATTAAGGTACAGAATAAAAACCAGGAATATGATATTGGTATAATATGTGTATATAGTTCTATATTACATGTAGAATTAGGTAACTACCACTGTAAAAAACATACAGAACTCTTTCATTACGATAAAGAACTCCCTTAATAGTCACATTCCACTCTCCCCAACTGTCGTTTATCCATAGAACCTCTAATATCAATGTTTTAAACACTTAATATCAGTAGTATCCCAGTTATATCAACACAATTATAATATCATGGGATTAGACTTTCCAAAATTTCAAATTTCCAGAATTCAGGCTTCTGTCCACAGTGTCTTTACCTACCCAGGAATATTTTTTTTTAAAAGGAAAAGATGACATGTTGATATTAAAATTCTAAAAAAAAACCACAAAAACACAGGTTGTTCCTAAAAGTTGCCCACAGCATTCCAAAACTAGAAAAACCAAAAAATTTTTTTCCTTTTAAGAATATTCTTAAAATGAAATGAATACTCATTTTTAAAATGTTTTTAAACTACCTTCCATTTTATATAAACATTTGCTTATTTTACCTTTATATTTGGCAGTTATGAAATTTTGAAACCTAGAATAGTCAAATAAGTTCTGAAAATTTTTTTAGTGCTTTATTTTAAAAATTAAATTCTGTTATCAGATAAGTAATTGATAAGTCAGAGAAGTTTTTTTTTTAATGTAAGTCCCATCTATTCGCTCATAATTTCTTTTTGGAAAATCATAAACTTAGAGACCTTGGACTTTAAACCTTCTCATTTTATAGGGAGATCACTAAATTAACTGAAATATACAAAGGTCATACAACTAGTTACTTACTGGTTACTTAATGTTGAACAACCCAAATCTCATTTTCAGTATGGTACTTTCTCTAATATGCTATATTTTATCTGTTAAGAAAGTTTAAATGACCAGTCATTTAAAATAAATTTAATCACTTCTTAGTGAAAAAAGTCCATGAGATTTTAAAATATTTTCTTATTGATCAAGCTAATAGTTTGACAGAATCAGTTCATGAATTTGTTTTAAAATGTAAAGATAATCCCATTTCTGAGGTGAAGTTTTTTTTTTTTAATGTCAGTAAGCTGTACTGTTTATAAATCTTGCAATTTCAGTTTGTGTTATGTTTGTAGGTAACCTTCTGAAATTGTAAATTATCCCAATTTTTGTCTTTAGGTACTTTGTTGCCTAGTAGTCTTATTGTAATAGTTTTTTATTTTGCTTTGTTTATTAAGGATTCTTTACGTTGCTACAACCTGTACTGATTAATTTTGATTTTTTGGTTTTCAACTCTAGGAGTCTCTACCACCCGTCCAGTTTGACTGGAGTAGCAGTGGCCTTACTAACCCTTTAGATGGTACGTCTCTCCGTAGAGCCTCTAGCACCAGAGCTAGAGTTAAGAAAGCTACAAAGTTCAGACAAACTTCTCTCTGCTGATTTCCCTTTTTGTTTGAACATAACTTATCTTTGGAAATTCAGGCTTTCTTTCTAAATAGTAATTGCTCAAGAGACCAGCTGTTTACTATTATTAACAGTATTTATGGTAGTAGCAAGGTACAATTTTAGCTTCTTTATCTTAGGTCAAAAATAAGCTTATTTTTTACAGATATCTAGATAGCTTAAATGATATTTTAGCTAGGACTGATTTATTTCAATTTTTTTTTGTAGTTTTAATTTACGGAATTTTCTTGAATGCAAAGTCTTAACGGCTAGAGGCTGCTTCAAAGCACAATTATTTAACCAAAAACAATGTGCAGATCCATATTTATTGACTCAAAGTAGTTTTCAGATTTAATATTTTATAGAGCACTTATATGCAAATGTAAAATGAATGATTTTCATGATCCTTTTCTAAAATTTATCTCCAAATGCTAGTAGGTAGTTCCAGAAAACATTGGTTTTGCTTATAGCTTTAAAAGAAAAATCTGAAAATGGAGTAACTTATTCTAGTAATGTGAGGTCTTTAAAATAACACAGAATACTAGTTTCTAGTGTTCACACCACAGGTTTTCAGTGGACCCTAAGATATAATTGTTCCTACTCCTTGTGCTGCTTAAGTTTGAGCCTTTGTCCAGAATATCTGTCATTATTATCATCTCAATGGCAGTTGTCATTGCCATTGTCTAAAACACCATCAGTTTTGCCTTATAGTGTAGGTCCTAGGATATCTGGAAAGCATCCAATTGAATAACAGTGCTGAAGGAAAGCCTGGATGCACCTTTTGCTGTTGTCTGGTGTCTTTAGTCAAATCATCATGCTTTTTATTAACAACTTCTTTAAAAATGTATACTATTTCTGATTACTGTTTCAGAGTTAAAGGGGAACAGTACAGCTTGAGGTTGCACATCAGGGTAGGGCAGTTATGACATTCCTTATGATTTTATTTTAAACTAAGTTAATGTATGGTGCGTGTCCTGAAACTGACAACTTTGTCATTTTTTAAAAACACCATTAATTAGAAACCAGTATTACTAACGTGAAAGATTGATTTGGGCATGTATAGTGAGTGATTTAATGTTGGGTTGAGATTAAAGTATTGTTTCCCTTTAACGGGTACGCTTTCCCCTCGATCTTTCTGGTATGGCTTCCAGTTTTGATTGAAAGAACTGAACTCCTAACTAAAACCTTACTAAGTGTTACGTTCTTTACATTGTACATGAGAAAATGTACATTGAATTAAATTGTTACTTTAGAAATGTCCTTAGTAATGAAAAACTAATACTGTACATGTTGTTTTAATGTTGATTTTTTAAAATGTGTAATGACTACTAATTATAACCTGCATGTTCAAGTGTGTGTCTTACCCCTTTTTACACATAACCCCTCCTCCCTTGGCTTACCTTCTGTGTGGCTGCCTACCAACACGGTCACTGAATTTCAAGCTAGTGGAGGTTCCACTCTTCTGAACCTTGATTTCTTTGGGCCCGTGGATGACAGTAGCTCTAGCAGCAGCACCACAATCCCAGGTCAGCAGAGTGTTAAAACCACAATTCTAGTTAATTTACTAAAAGCATGACCACAACACTTGACTTTCCTATAAACAAGGAAACAAGTAGACTGCATTCTCCATAATGTCTTTTTAATACTTTTCTTTCATCTATCTGTTGTTATTTTCTGTTATCTGAATACAAGTGACTTGTATGAGGTATTTTTTAGGAAAAACTTTTTTAGAGTGTAATAGAGGTAGCAATAATATAGTCCTAATGTCCTTAGACAGTTAAAGGCAAGATTTTTCCTCCCATAAGTAGATAATGTGAGGTTTTTATATGTTTATTTTTTAAAGCATATTCTATAAAGCCACTTGAAAAAATAGACTTGAGATATAAGAATATTTTAGTACACATAGAAACTTTACATTGTAGTACCTCTGATAATATAACTTTGAAATTCTAGCATTTTAGTTTATTAGTGCTGTTAAATATATATTTAGGTTCCAGAATGCTGGAGTTAGCACACATCTACATAGAACTATTATTGTTTTTATGTAGCTCTTAAATCAAAAGTATACTGTTAGTTTTCCATGGAGAAAAAAAAATGTTAACAAATTTAATAGTAGAAAAAATTGCTATGAGATACTAAAAGTAAGAAATTAAAACTTACTGGAGTGCCTGTTAATATTTAGCCCTGCAAAAGTTCAGTTCATTGACCAAAGAACTAATGTACTTTGTCATTTATAACTGAATAAAGGATTAAAATTTTAATGGCATTTTTATGTTTATATTTGTTTAGTATGATTTTAGTGAATCCCTGTCATTCCTAATTGTGATCTGGTACTCATGCCACATTGATCAACAGGCAGCCACTGGGGTGCTATATAGATGCCAATACTTAAAATGCATAGTGAGGATCCCTTTCTGTGACCACTAGTGAACAGTTTCACAGCCAGCCTGGTTCCTGAGATTTTGCTGGTTTTGTTTTGTTCCATCAGATAACCCACCCAACCCACTTCCAACAGTTTAGGAACATGATGGGATATGGAGGTTATGACAGTCAACTAAAGGTGAACCTGGAACATAGGATGCCCTTTTTAAAAAATCTGATAGGGTAATCTGATCCTGTTACTGGGAAGTTCCAAAGTCCTCTGGTACAGAATGACAGGATTCCTCAAATCTAAGTTCCTGGGTATCATTTTGTTGTTAATTTTGCAAGCATACCAAAAAAACCAATCTGTGTCTGGTTTTGACTTAAAACTGATATTTTACTGTTTACTTAAATTAATTCTAAATATATCTGATCTATGGAATGACCTGGGTGAGCTAAAGTTGCCTGACATTTTATAATACTTAATTGGGGGGGGGGTGAGCAACCAAAAACTTGTATATCACTTTCCTTATTACTATGTTCCCAAGAATTAATCATCAGGGTCCCATGTTAAATTTGTTCTCAAGTTTGTTTTGTCACCAAGTATTACAGTTTAAATGAGGTCACTTTGCTTTTGGATGCCTAAAATCCTGATTTAGTTTTAATTTTTGCTTACATTTCAAACTTATTTAAAAAAATTCATAGAAGCACAAATAAACTGGCCATATAACGAAGTATAGAAATGGCCTAATAATCAGCCTCAGTGTTCACAGCTGCAAGAAGAGTAAGCCGTTTCAGAAGCTTAGTGCTATAGTAGAAGTGAAATCAACGTCGTCAAATGCAATCCTCATTACTTTGGAACCTTTTAAATATTTCTGTTCACTATTTTCATTAATATGCTCTAGCTGCTGTATAAATTGGTTATAATAAATTTGCTTTGGCTTCTTTTATTGCTATTGGGTTTTGTTAAAACTTACATCAAGCTACAGGTACCAACACTTTAGTATTCCACGTCACCACTTGCTTGCACTTTTTCTGACTTGTTTCTGGGAAAGTCATTTTGTCTTAGCTTGCAATTAATTATTTTGTGTGTGATTCTTAGGAGGTTGGCATAGAATTTGGTTGGCTAGCTTTAATTATGTAAATAAACTATGCCTCATTAAGGTTGTGTTTAAAAAAACTTGCATTAAAAAAATTACTCTCTAATTACTAGTGTACAATAGGAAGTTGTCTTGTTTCTTTTAAAAAACATTGATGGTTGTGGTTTCGGGGGGTGGGGGGTGTTTTTTTTTTTTGTTTTGTTTTTTTATTTGGGGAAAAGGTGTTTGGGGCTGGAAAAAGGGATGATTTGTCATTTTTTTAAATTTTCATCTGCCACTTCATTATTTGACAGCCAAGTATCCAGTATTTTATAAAACCAACTAAGTTTTAGTGGCATTTTTCTGTTGCCAGTCAGAATGCACTTTTTTATTCTGTATTATACTTGGATATCAGCTTAAATTTTGTGGTTGATTGAAATGTAACCTTTACCAGCAGAGGAAGTGCACTGAGTTCATTTTGTCCCTTTACAGATAATTTCCAGGTTTTACATTGTAACTGCAATCCATATACTTACTATAAAAAATAAATTTCCTTTTTAGACATACTTTGAAATGTACCTTAATGAAATATTAAGAACTTGGGAGAGTCAACCTACATTTTCTATAGCCTTCCTCCCTTGTTGGATTTGGTAACTGTGGAAGCTGCTTTTGCTTAATTTCTGTAAACATCTGAGATCTGTTTAAATTTGGTGGTCATCTACAGAACCGGTTAATAGAAGCCAATTCCTGATTCTTTTTCCTTAACCTTGAAATATCCTGAAAGGAGGGAACTTACAAATATATGCATTATAATTTTGTCTGATCTTGGAGGCCTGTTTAAAGAAATAAGAAAAATTAGACACAATAGTATGTACCTGTAGCCCAGCTACTCACAAGACTGAGATAGGAGGATCACTTTAGCCCCGCAGTTCAAGACAGCCTAAATAAAAAAATAAAGAAAGAAAGAAAAATGAAAATTTAAGATATAAAACATTTCTTTTTACTATCTGTTTTTCTGTTATACCCTGAAACTCCTGAAGTTTCTGTTCACGTAATTTGCTGATAATAGGGAGAAAGTTTACCTTGGGTATAAAATAGTTAACTTTTCAGTAGTAATTATTTAATAATATAAATCTATTACATAGGAAATATTTAAAAAATCATAAATTGTTAATTTTAGTGAATGTAGATGGGGGAAGGTTTTAGGTAGATTTTTACAGTAAATCTAAACCTCTTTAATTCATATTCCTTTTGACTTACTATAGATTTTTGAACTATTGGCAACCAGACAAAGATGAGAATACAGAAATACAATAAACCCTGGAGAACTTTTTCATTTTAAAAAGTTGTCTTTTTATTTGCTTTTTCTGAAAATATTTTATTCTCCCCACCTTTTAACCTAAAGAAAGAATAGTGTGGTATATATTTAGTAATTTGATGCTTTGAATAATAATAGTTCTTGTCTATCTATATATATATATATATATATACATTTTTTTTTTTAAATCAGGTATTGAACCAAGGGGTGCTTAACCACTGAGTGACATCTCCAACCTTTTTTTATTTTTCATTTTAAGACAGGGTCTTGCTATGTTGTTAAGGCTGGCTTTGAACTTGGTGATCTTCCTGCCTCAGCCTCCCAAGCACTGGGATCATTGTCATGCACCACCATGCCCAGCAGATAGTCTGAACTAACCAAATCAATTATCATGTTTGAAAGTTTATATTAACTTCCAAATATTTTGCTGTGGAAGAAAATAATGAAAAAAAAAACTAACTTGTTAGGAGATTGGGAGAAAAGAGGGTTTTAAAATTAAGTTAATAAGACAATTTGAAAATTGGGAATGTCGCATTATATAATAAATCATATGCATTCTGTTTATAAAACAGAGACTTTTGCTGATGCAATGGTGCACATCTATAATCCCAGCTGAAGTAGGAGAATTGCACATTTAAGGCTAGTTTCTGAAACTTAATGAGACCCCCTCTTTTAAAGGGCTGACGATGGCTCAGTGTTAGAGCATCCCTGGGTTCAAACCCCAGTACAAAGTAACAGGAGTGGGGGTTGTATTTTACAAATTCTCCAAAAAGTAAAATTTCTAATTTAAAAAATAAGCACAGTATTACAGTGTTTTAAAGCTCTATTGTGCTTGTAAAAGGCTCAGATGTTTACAGAATACTACTCTTGCATCTTGGATTGTGACTAATTAAGTAACCTCTGCAGCTTGCCATCACTGACTGTCATTTTATACTATAAGGTGTGGATCCAGAGTTGTATGAATTAACAACTTCTAAGCTGGAAATCTCCACCTCAAGCCTCAAAGTGACTGATGCATTTGCAAGACTCATGTCCACAGTAGAGAAGACAAGCACATCTACCAGGTAAAAAGTTAGGGTCAATTAAACCCTCATTTTGAATTCTGAGTTAAAACAATCCAAAGGGAAAAGCACGTAAGTTGGCAGTCTTTCAATATATTGTTTTAAAATTCACTTTATAAAAGCCAATAGATGTCTAAATCCAGAACATAGTATCAAATTATGCTTAATTATTAACTTTACTAGAGAAGAGTTATTTCATAAGAAAGGACTAAACAGATATGATTTTATTTCTCTCCCCCACCCCACTTTGTAGAGACTCTTTCTCACTGAAGCCATTGTAGAAACATTTATAATTCATAATTACTGGGAACACCATAATCTTAGGATCACCTAGACTGATCTTTTTTCTTCCAGGCTAAGACAGAGAATAGCCACTTGTATTTTCCAAAAGCTTGTTGATCTGCATCTATGATTTGGGACATGAAACCTTCCTTTACCAAGCTTCTTTGGACCCTCTTTAAGGGCATAGCCTTTAGAAAAACTGTATCTCAGAGTTGGAACCAAAACCAAGGATTATCACTTGGGCCTTATGTTGAGAATTTAGAAAACCCTTAGTTTTATATAATTAAATGTTGGAATAATGTATTGCTTTGACATATTAACCACAAGAACAAGCCAGTTCCTAATAGAAATGTAATTATGAGCCAGGAAATCACTAGCCTAAGAGCAATATTAGTTGGTTGGCAGGCCAGCTCTGCTTCCCAAATCCATAATTCATCCGCATTTTAAAAAAGAATAGTTACCTGCTATTTGCCCACTTTGAGAGACGTTTTAGTGTCATCGTGTTAAATTCAGAGTTACCCGTTAAAGTCAGTTCTTTTATAGAAAATTGATTTTTTCCCTTTTTGATGTATGAAATGCTGTTTTAAAATGTAAGCTTGAATGACCATTGCCTTTTAAACTTTATTGTGTGTTTATATCCATTCATTCAACAGGTATTACTACATATAATTTTAAAAACTGTTTATTTTATGAGTACCCTTAACTTTTCCCTAGAACAGGTTTGTAACATAAGTCCTTTTTTTAAAAAATATTTTTAGTTATAGATGGACACAATACCTTTATTTTGTTTAGTTTTTTTAATGTGGTGCTGGGGATCGAATCCAGTGCCTCATGCATGCTAGGCAAGCCTTCTACCACTGAGCCACAACCCCGCCCATATAGGTTCTATTTTTAAAGTCCACAGAGTCTTTCCATTGTTCTTATTGCCCCTTGTCATTGTAGTATGCCCCCTGGCACTGCCAAAGCCGCCTTTTAAATGAAAATACTTGTAAATTGCAGTTCCTGTGGACTTTAGGCTTCTTTTTTTCTCTTTCTAAACAAACCATTTCTTCAAGTTGAAACTTTCACACAGATTTCTGATTGATTTTGTTTTCTGTGTAATCTAAAAAGAAATGTACATTTGACTTTAAAAACAACAGAAGCCTACTGCCTTTGTTGTCTGGCCTTTTCCCTTCTATTTCTGGGACAACCCTACTGTTTGCTCACATTTTTCCCCCTGCAATCTCACTAACTAAACTGCAATAGTTTTGGAAATCCCAATGTTGAGAATTCATTTTTTGTACCATTAGGAGGAGCTCTAAACCACTTTGCTGGCTTGCTCTCCTAATTTTTAAAACTTATCCTGCAAACTACACTAGGGAACATTTCTGACACTTATCGTTTTTAAGAAGTTATTCTCCTTTTATGTAAGGGTATTCTGAACTAGAAGAAAGCACTAAAACTACAGCGTACATCCTGGAGGTAGTAGTACAGCTGGATTGCATTACTTTCTAGTTCTTGTCCAGCTTTGTATTTAAAACAAAATAACAAGTAGCCAACTTTGTATTTTGTTTCAAGGAATGTATATTGTTTAAAAATAAATAAGTACATGCCATTTGCACCTGAGAAATGCAAATATCAATTCTTAGTATTAGAATTTAAGGTCTTATTCTATAACATATCTCCATGAGTGATTTTTAATTGTGCAAAAAAGAGGCAGGTGGCATATATAATTTCAGAAATTTTAATTTTCAATATTTTGGTTGTTTTTAGCTTTCGTTTCATTTTTCTTTTTGTTTTGAATAAAATATAGAAAGTAAAGCTCACCAAAATTGTCTCACATATTGACAAAACAGAAGATAGAGTGAATAAGCTTTGTGAGGGCCTGTCAGATAAGAAAGGGTTAAACAGTGGTTAAACCAGACATAGCATGCCCATAATCCCAGCTACTTGGGAAACTGAGGCAGGAGGAAAGAAAGTTCAAGGCCAACTTAGGTAACTTAGCAAGACCCTGTCTCAAAAAAGGAAGAGGACTGGAGATATAGCTCGGTGGTAGAGTGCCCCTGGGTTCAGTATCCAATATCACAAAAGAGAGAGGAAAGAAGGAAAGAAACAGTGATTGACGTAAAGGAAATTTGACATGGAACAAACAGCATCCTACTCTTCTCTAAGTATCTTTTTTTTTTTTTAATTATTTTTAGATGTTGATGGACCTTTGTTTTATTCATTTATTTATTTATGGTGCTGAGAATCAAACCCAGTGCCTCACACATGCTAGGCAAACACTGTACCACTGAGCCACAATGCCCGCCCTCTAAGTATCTTTAAATAACTTAAACACACACATGTTCCTCTCTTTTCAGTACATAGGTTGTGAATATAACTTCTCACTAAGAATGCAAATTCTTAGCTTTAAAATAGTTGCATCTTCTTTTCCTTCCTAAAATAGATAAAATCATTTAACTTACATCAATGGGTGACCAGCTGGTTAATCTAATTGATGTTTCTACAAACCAAAGGACTAGTTATAAAAGGGATACTTTTTGTCTTTTTATTGATATAATTCATATACCACAAAATCTACCTTTAAGATATATAATTCAGTAGGATTTCATATATTCACAATGTTGTACAACTAATTCTAGAACATTTTTATCATATCCTCTCCCCAAAAAATGCCCTGTACCCATTAGCAGACACTTCCTATACCTTTCTCCCTCTATTCCTTAGCAGTCTCTACTCTGCTTTCTATCTGTGGATTTGCCTACTCTGTTTCCTATAAATTGAATCCTATAACATGGCCTTATATGTCTGGCTTCTTTGCAGTTTTAAGTTCATCCGTGTTGTGGCATATGTCAATATTTAATTCCTTTTTATGATTACATGGTTGTATAATATTCTCTGGTATGGAAAAACATGTTTTGTTTATTAATAGGTTATTTTGCTATTTTTAGTATATGTGCTGCCAGAGTGAGCATCATTTTCACTTTTTGAATGTTAGGAGTAATGCTGCTATGAACATTTGTATACAAGGACGAATGTTTTAGATTCTCTTGCAAGTGGATTTGCTCCATCATATGGTAATTTTATAATTAATCCTTTGAGGAACTGCCAAAGTTTTCCAAAGTTGATGGCACTGTTTTATATTCTCAACAACAGTATATGAGCATTTCAATTTCTCAATTCTCACCAGTACTTGTTATTTTGGATATAGCTACCCCAGACAGTGTGAAGTGGTATCCCATTGTTGTTTTATTTATGGTACTGGGGATTTAATCCAGGAACACTGTATCACTGAGCCACATCCCCAGCCATCCTTTTCATTTTTTAAATTTTGAGACAGGGTCTCACAAAGTTGCTAAAGCAAGTTCAAGGCCACCTAGCCTCCTGCCTCATTCTTATAGCTAGGTGGAATTTCAGACTTGAGCCACTTAGTCCTCCATTATCATTTCATTTGAATTTCCTGAGAAATATTTGCCTATTTTTTATAATTTGTAACAGTTCTTTGTTACAAGTGCTAGACTTTTATCAAATATATACATTGCAAATAGTGTCTCCCATTCTGTAGGTTGTCTTCACTTTTTTATAGTATCCTCTGAAGCACAGATGTTTCTAAATTGTGATGAAATTGAATTTTTATGTATAATATTTTTTTATTTATGCTTTAGGTCTAAGAAATCATTGCCTAATTCAAGGTCAGGAAGATTTACATCTAGGTTTTTTCGGAGTTTTATAATTCCATCTCTTAAGTCCTTGATCAACTGAATTAATTTCTTTCTATGGCATGAGGTGGGGGGACCACAATTTTTTTTTTTTTTTTTTTTGGCATATGGCTATTCACTGTCCTAACACATTTATTTTGAAAAGACTACTCTTTCCCCCATTGAGAGATCTTGGCATGCTTGTGTAAAAAAAAAAAAAAAAAAATTTTTTTATTGTTATAGGTGTTTATTTCTGGAATCCTAATTGTATTCTGTTGACAAAAAGGGCAGATCTTAGTTAGAAAAGACATAGATAAAAATTGGGTTATGGCATGTAAATTTTGTTTTTCAAGTCTTCCTCAAGCATTTCTTTTTTCTTACATTCTAAGAAGACTAGCTTATATAAGTGTACAGTGATTAAAACAAATGCTCAAACTATAAATTATGTGAGCTTTTTAAAATTTTTAAATACAACTTCATATTGCCTCTGAAATAAAACAATTGATACAAACCTGAGAAGTAATCTTTACCAAAACTTTGTTAAAAAATTTCTGTGCTCTCCTTTCCCACACCCCAGCTGCACTCCACAAATGGAGAAGTTCAATTGGGTGCAATTTGTTATTTTTAAATAGCCTTTTTTACTACAGAAGCAGTAAGGGATATTCTAGGAAGTTATTCTTTCAAGTCCTTTCATGCAAATATGCATGCATGTCTTTTTTACACCAAAAATTATATTTTGTGTAGTGATATGGGAGTCAAACTGAGGGCTTAATGCATGCTAGGAAAGAGTGAGCTATATTCCCAGCTCCCAAAATGAGATTTTATAATCCATCCTGAATGGAATCATGGAATCAATCTTTATAATCAATGATATATATTTGCCAATTTTAGTGAGTTTTTATTTCACGAAATACCCAGACTGTATTCATGTTTTTCCAAAAATATCCTGCTTTATACAAACCAATATTCAGTTCAGGATAATTATATCTAGACATTATATCTCTTATGTCCCTTATAACCTAGCATATCTCCCCTTTTGTTTTTTTGTTAATATTAGCTTGTTAAAAAGACTAGTCCAATGGACCTACAGAATGTTCTAAGCTTTCGAGTTGTCCATTTGCTTCCTTAAAGTAGTATTTATTAAATTCTCTATTCTCCCAATTTCCTATGAATACGAAATTACATCTAAAGGGCAGACATGATGTATGGAGTACATCATAGGTGTTATGTCACAGAAGATACCTGACATTTGGCTGACTGCATTGTTAATGATGATACTGTTCATTGGTGAAAGGCTGATCTTTTCCATTCTAGATTGTTTTTCACATTGAGACTGGAAAGTAATGTTAGCAGTTGAACATTGGAATGATGCAAATATCCACTTCTTCAAAAATCCATTGAATAGTTATGCCACCATTTAAGTGCAATGGAAAAATGTATATTTTAATCAGAAACTATTCTGTTCTTCTAAAAAACCCTAGAAATTAGTTCAGTGGTTGTTCTACTGATATGCCTCAAGCTATTGAACTAAAAGTCTGTTATTAGGGGCTGGGGTTGTGGATCATCGGTAAAGCGCTCGCCTAGCAGGTGCAAGGCCCTGGGTTCGATCCTCAGCACCACATAAAGATAAACAAAATAAAGGTTGTGTCCAATGACAACTAAAAAAATAAATATTCTTTTTAAAAGTCTGTTAGATTTTTTATTCATTCTATAAAGTCTTATTTCAGCCTTTTCAGAATTAGTAACAACAGAAAAGTCTAGGTATTAAGTGAAGTCCTGCATCTAATCTTTTTAATTTCACCACTAACTTCCTGCTCACTGTCCAAATATAAAATATTTAGGTGAAAGAAACAACTTGTGTCATATCTAATAGAGTACTAATTGTCCTTTTTCAGAAAAGAAAATTGGGCTGTCCAGAATCCATTTAAAATCATCTTTGGTCTAAAATTAATAATATATATGACTATAACTATTCCTTCAATATATTGGACATCCTAGGAAAAAATGCAGTTTGGATTCAATTGTGTGCTCCATTTGGGCTACGTACACTAGGACAACCTGACTCTCCAGGAGTTCTTCACATCTGTTTTAGGTGCCAAATTGGTCACTTCTCATGGGAGTTGGAATGGTATAGTAAAATAGACTTCATCTACAAGACCCATAAGATTAGAAATGGCCTCCCCTGGGTTCCTTCCTGCAGCCAGTCTTCATGCTGCTTGCATCTCAGCTGGCTGAAGGCTCTCTTTCCTGGAATTTCCCACTGGGGATAAAGAAAGCCTGAGGTTAAAATGACAAGCCTTGTGCCACACACATTTTATGTGAAGATAATTTTGGAAGTTTCACAGGGGGCAGTTTGGAATCCAGTCAGGCCAAATGTTTTTAGGGCTTTGTAACTAATATTTCAGTGGAGTAGCATGTTAAAATTATGGCTGGGTAGATGCTTTTAGCCTTAAGCTGTGAGCTGTACACATGTACATGTGAATATCCATAAGCACATGCCTTGCTTTAATAAACATACAAAAACAGGCCTTGTGTTTCTGTTCACGAAAGAGTTGGCATCTGGCACAGGAAGCATAGAACGCAGAAGTACAACCTTCAGGATCTAGCAGAAGAAAAGATGGTTGAATACCTGAAAGTTTAGTTAGAGCACTCGGGGGGTGTAGTGAGGGCTCTATGAGGTGTTACAAGAGCTGCTTACCTAGAAAGGAGATGTTTAGTCAGTTTTTTCGATGCTGCAACTGAAAGACCCCACCAGAACAATGATAGAGAAGGAAGGATTTATTTAGGGGCTCACAGTTTCAGAAATCTCAGTCCCTAAGTGGCTGGCTGAATTCCTAGAGGTTCAACGTGAGGCAGGATATCATGGTAGAAGAGTGTGGCAAAGGGAAGCAGCTCACATGATAATCAGACAACAGAGAGACTTCCACTCACCAGATACAAACATATACCCCAAAGCCATGCCCCTGATTCCCACCACCTCCAGCCACACCGTACCACTTCAGTTTACACTCAGTTAATCCCTATCAGGGGATTAAGACTCTTTACAACCCAGTCATTTCTCCTCTAAACCTTCTTGCACTGTTTTTCACATGTGAGCTTTTGGGAGACACCTCATATCCAAACCATAAGAATGGATTTCCTCTCATTTGACCTATTGTAAAGTCCCATTAATGTACTTTCTTTCTCATTTGTTGATAGGAAACCGAAAAGAGAAGAGCACTTGAGTGAAGAAGCTATCAAGGTGATTGCCAGCCTTCCTGACTTGACATTCATGCATGCCAAGGTGTTGATGTTCCCAGCCACATTAACACCTTCCACCAGCTCCCAGGATCAAGCAGACTGATAACTGATGTGAACTGGACAGTTTCAAATGCTTTCTCTCCTCCTCCCTTCCCTACCATCAAAAGCATACCTGCTTTAATTAAAGAAAATTCAAGTTCAGCTGATTTGTTGGTAAGCCGCACTAGAAAGGTATACATAGTAATGTATATTTATTTACATACTGAAGTCCTAAATTTATATTAGAAAACATGTAAATAATCGGGGGTGAACATTTTTGAAGATTTATTCTTTTTGTGTTGCTGGGGTGTATACATTTATGTCTTTGTGAAATACACTGGTGGTGTCCTTCTTACAAAACTTTTGAAATAAAAAAATTAAAAACTCAAAGCTCCACTGTCTGAAATCCCCTTCAGTCTTTTCAGATTGCATTGAATGTCCTCTTCATTTTTCATATCATATGTTGAATCACTTTTGCTGTCATAAATAAGCCCCAAAGTCCCTATTTAATTTTTTTATTTGTGTGTGATGGGTTTGTTTCAGATCTGGCTTTTGTTATCAATTTTGGGCTCTTTTTTAATCTTTTCAATCTGGCATATTGCTGTTTGACCTTTTGCAAGGTACTTCATCGAAAGCTCTTTTGTTATAGGGTATAGATCATTGTCAGAACTTGATTGGAGGGGTTTAAAAAGATTGTGTCTGTTTTAAATCAGTTTGATTTGGAGAAGGACCAAATTATATGAATGTCTTACAATGAAATTTACTTGTTACTGATTTTTTTTTTTTGGTTCTATCGTACCACTAGTTTTTGAGGATTTTGCACAGTGTAAAATGACATAATCATAGATTGCTATGGTTTAGGCTGTATATACAGTAAAACTATGGGTTTTAAATGTTTGGGGAAATTCCTATGGAAAAAAAAAAAGAGACATGTAGAAGAACCTCTAACAAGGTTAATGTGCATGCCCAAGGTCTTTTGAGATTTCAGTGTGTAAATTTCCTTTTAGCTTACACAAAAATAAAATAATTTAAAAGAAATTTTAGCCTGGTGTCTGTGTAACTTTTATATAAGGAAACATTTAATGTGTTTGAATATCAGATTTTATCCAATATTAATGTATTTCAATCCAAAGAAAATCATTTGGTGGACTTCCACTTTGTTGAAATAAGAATTAGAATCTGGCTTATAAGAATTGGATCAGTACTTTTAGTAACTTAGCTATTTTTATATATACAACATGGGATTCTGGAAAAAAATTCCTATCATTATAACATGTCATCACAATATTGGCAAAATTAAATAAGAATTTATAGGAAATTTTTTTTCTTTTCCAAGAAAATGTACAATGAAATTAAGGTGAGCAGATTTTTAGAAATTAATTTTAGATTATTAGATGTTAAATCAGCAAAAAAGTCACATGACCTATCATAAGCTACAGGCAGCCAAGAGTAGCCCACCTTACTCACACTGAAAGTGTTACAGCAGAACTCTTGCATCTCAATCATTGTCAGAGATTTCCTGGTTACCAGGTTATTGCCTAAAGTGATAAGATTCTACTTTCAGCCATTTCCCCTACTTCCTCCCACCAATCCTTTTCATAGAAGGCTTTTCTTCAGAAGTCATATTTCCAATGCCTGAAGAAACTTTCAAATGGAAGAAGATAAAATATTCCTCAGCAGAATTTTACATGTGTCAGTAATTGAAGCTTAAAGAGCTGCTTCTATAGTCTCTGACAACTAAATTGTAATGAACCCACTTACTAGCTGCAATATTGTAAGAAAGTTAATCAACTTCTGAGCCTGAATTATATTAATTCTAAACATGAGAATGATACTACCTACCTCATGGGGTCGATATATTAAATAAAAGACATAAGACACTTATCACATGTATAGACATGGTAGCCACAGCATAACAGCAGCAAACCCTGTGAAGACTCCTAGAGCCTGATAGATTTGAGTAGTCACAGGAGAAGGGATCATTTAAGTGATAATACAGTAACTTACTTTAAAACAATTAGTGACTGACAGAAGTGTTTATAAGATGAATATGCATACTAAATAAATCAGGCTTCCTTTTGTTTGTCATATTGGTCATTGCTGCCTTTGTCACAACAGGTACATCAATACTGGATTGTCTTAGGTTAAAGGCAGTGCTTTAGTACTGAGGCCCAAAACTGTTCTCCCTGTTTGAAATTTTTCCAATAGCACTCAGCAGTTGGCTCTGGAAGAGTCTCGGGCACTTCTGGCATCTCTCAAAGGGAGAGCCTGTCATCTGCCCACTTACTTGGTCATCAGCTACTTCTGGCAGCAGCTACTCACTGCCTCAAAGTCAACCAGAAAGACCCTGCAGAATTGGGGAAGGAAAGAAGCCTAGGAGTAGAAGCCCCAGTAGGCCAAATCACACATTAGTTTAGCAATCAACTTCATGTCCCAGGTGCATTAAAGCCAACTCATATGAGGGTCTCATCCCATTTACTGGCCAAATCCAAATAGCCATATATAATTTCCCAGGTTAATCCAAAACAGATTGGGAAGCATAGGAGAAGACTTTCCTAAATTGAGCCACATCACTCCTTATTTATGAGTCATTTCTTACAGAGCAATTTCTTTCTTCTTCATGATTATGTTTCTTATTTAGAACTTGTCATGTTTTTGAATCAAGATTAGGCTTGGCTGAAACAAAAAGCCAAAATACTGCTTTGCATGTAATAATTCTCAGCCTTTTTCACATTTTAATTTCTCTGAAATTGGAATGTGTCATACAGTTGGAAGGAGTGTCTATTTAAATGGCAGTGGTTTCTTAGTGATATATGAAATAATGATGCCTTGTAATCAATGACAAAGCTGATGAAAATAGTAATGGTGGGCTGAAGTGGTAGAAGTTTCCATCCTGTAAAACACTGGAGGAAATCTGCCTTGGGGACTTCATAGGGTCAGAGACTGGAGCACTTAACATCTTGTGTATCCCATCCTCAACATATGGTTTCTACCTTGTGGTCCAACATGATTGTTCAGGATCTGGTCATCATGGAAGAAAGAGTGAAGAAGGGATTCTGTCTCCTGTGAAGGAAACTTTCCCTAAGGGAGACACAGTATTTCCAATCAGAATCTATTCACCAGAACTTAGTAGCCACAAGAGCCTAATAAATACCTTTATTCTGGATCTTTTCTCTAGGTTTTGGCTCTCTTAAAGCAGATGGATTCTGGTAGTAAGGAAGAAGAGAACAGATAATATAGACCAAGCAGAAGTCTGGGCTGCACCTTTCACTTTTCAACCCATATAAATAGTATTTCATTGAAAGTGATTTATAGAGAAGTGAATTCCAGGATCATTGCCTCAGAGTAGATCTTTTGCCTTCCTGGTGCTTTTTCCAAGGAGGAAAATAATCTATCAAAGGCAGTCCAGGATTTACTGGGACCTTAGAGTAAGGTAAATCATGGGTTGAAGTAGGCAGATAAGGTAGAAGGAGCACTGAATTAGATAGGAGTTGTGTGTTAAATACGGTTCTCCCACTAACCAGGTAAAAGATCTTGGATAAATCTCTTTTCCAAGTTTCAAATACTCAAAAGCTAAGGCAGGGACTGAGGATGTAGCTCAGTGGTAGGACACATGTTGAATGTGCACAGTGCCCAGAGTTCAATCTCCAGTACACACATAAACTAAGCTGGGAAAAAACTTCAGAGGGCTGGAGAATCAACTGGTCTAGGGCTTTTCAAACCACTCCAGGAGCTCCACAGCCTAGGCACCCTCAGCAAAGGGGTGTCCTATAGTAACACAACGAGCTAATATGGGTGGCTGGGGGTAGGGGAGAGGTAATAGAAAATTCCATTTGATTAAAGTGTTCCATTGCAACCAAAAGAGCCAAAGATGATTCAGAATTCATACCTGAAGAAATTGAAGCCTAAATAAAGAAATCAACTTATACAACAATCTCACCTATAAAGAGGCAGGACCCAATCCCAGTTTTCTCACTCTTGGCCTTTTTGTTTACACCCTCCTATGCCTTGCCTCTGATGAGTTCAGCCTTTGCCTAAACATTTATCAGGACTCCTGCGGGCTCAGGACTTTGCAAGGCACTACCCATACCCATGCTTCGTTGGCAGCACTCATCACTAGAACTTTGCATGGAAACCTGGTTCCCGGTAACCTCTTCTTAGTTCCAGTTATTGCCTCTCAAGCTGCTTGGGATAAAGCCTATAAACCCTTTTCCATGAATATCTGAAGATCACTGTCCTGTTCTCCCTTCCACCAGGCCTTTTCACATACACATCATTCTTCTCTGGATACTGTCCCTATTGCCAAATTGCTCTTAAAATGTGCTCCTCAGCCAGGCATGGTGTTGCATGCCTATAATCCCAGCAACTTAGGAGGCTAAGGCAGAAGAATTCCAAGTTTAAGGCCAGCCTCAACAACTTAGCAAAATTCTCAATAACTTAGCAAGACCCTGTCTCTCAAAAAAGACTGGGGCCAGGCGCAGTGGCATATACCTATGATCCCAGCTGCCCAGGAGGCTGAGGCAGGAGGATTGCGAATTCAAAGTTGGCCTCAGCAACAGTGAGGTGCTAAGCAACTCAGTGAGGCCCTTTCTCTAAATAAAATAAAACACAAAACAGATCTGGGGATGTGGTTTAGTGGCTGAGTCCCCCTGAGTTCAATCCCTGGTAAAATCACCCCTCCTCCCATGTTCCCCGGTCAAAAAAAAGAAAAAGACTGGGGATAGCTTAGTGGTAGAGCATCCCTGGGTTCAATCCCTAGTACCAAAAAAAAAAAATGATGCTTCCCATACTTGACCAGATATCGCCTCACCACTGGCATGGGATTCATATTTACTTTATCTCAGACACTTCTTTTATTGTGCCTAAAATTGCATTACTATTTATAGCAATAATGTTGGCTCTTTACCTCATTTAGGCAGACTTTTCCCCCTAATTGCTGTCAAGCCACATTTTCTCTGCCATCTACTTGTCATTGAGCTTTGGTTTGGGGTATTTTGTTTTGTTTTGTTGGCACTGAGGATTGAACCCAGGGACACTTTACTACTGAGATACATTCCTTCAAGATTACTTGCTCAAAAAAACAAAACTTAATAAACACAATGTTATAGGTAAATTAATGTTTTAAGAAATCCTTGTCCTTTTAACACAGATTAAACTTTGGTTTATGTCAGTACTTAACATTTGACCCTAGGGGAAAAAACTTTAAATAGCTTTGACTGATTGTTTCATATACATATATAACCAACTTATATGGACCTTCTTTATCACTTATTTAAGCCCTCTTATTTACTTCATCACATACTTTCTTATCCAGAAACACTTTCTTTTCCTATTTAATATTGTTTCCATACCTAGAACCTTCTAATTTTTTCCCATCTGTTAACCCCCTTTCTGTTCATATTCTGAAACAATCTTCATAAATTTCTAAATTTAGATAAAATATTTCTTTTTATTAAATGAAAATACTTTGTTATTTACAGTACTCTTAATTAGAACAGTTGAAGCTTTTGGGCCTTTGTATATAGAAATCTTCTATAAACCTTTGTATATTGAATCACATCTGTATCATTTCATGAAAACACAATGTTCAAGTATAAAGAATTACACCTGTTGGGACTTTAAATTTTTAGTAACTTTTTTTAGTGATGACAAAGCAACTTTAAATCCTTTTTTCATTTACCAATTTATGAAAACATCAATCATGTTACACAATGGAATTCAAGGAGTTAAGAGTACTTGATGGTATATTTAACAGCATTTTAACCTTGTGAATTAATCAGATGTCTAACAAACACATTTATGAGTAATCCCAGGTCAAATCTATTTTACTTATTTTTTCCAAGATATCAGACAAGTACATTGAACAGTATTAGCCATTTCTTCCATGTTGAAGAAAAGTCCTAGAAACAATGGATATTAGATATTTTTATAGATATCAACATTTTACTAGTTCTTTGACCACATAGAGAGACTTGTAAGTTTAATTTTAAAGAAATCTTTACTTTCATCTGTTTACCCAATTTAAATTGGACCATTTT